TTCCTTTCCAATCAGGATGCCTTTTATTTCTTTCTCTTGCCAAATTCCCCTCACTAGAACCTCTATTAAAATGTGATTCGCATATGAGATGAGGGCATTTTTGTTTTGTTCCTGGTCTTAGGGGATATTTTCCTGTCTCTCACCATTAACTATAGTGTTAGCTGTGGGTTTTCCTTGGATGCTTTTTATCAGGTTGAGTTTTCTTTTTACCTTCAATCTGTTAAGTGTTTTATTTTTTTAATCATGAAAGATGTATTATGTGAACTTTTCTTTTGTATGTAAATATTAAGATAATGTAGTATTTGTACTTTATTACTATGGTAGATTACATTAATCAATTTTTTTATATCAAGCCAACTTTTTGGATAAAGATGAGTGATTAAGAGCTTTTCTAGTCTTCCCTGGGCATGCACACACAACACTGCACATTTCTAGATCACCTCAAATACATTGGAGATTTTCAAAACCCACTGTGGACATCACATTCCCTCAATTTTTATTTCAAGTTTTTGGCTTACCTCTGGCCTGCCTCAATTGATATTGCTCCTTTATGCAGCTACAATGCAAAACAGTTACCAATGCGTGTTTTTTAACAAGTTTCTTGAGATAGGCTTTCCTAACTGAGCAAGCTCTGAGTCAAATAAAGACAAGCCCTGAAAATGGGGATATTTCTCAAGTTGCTAGACAGGTCAAATAAAAACAAATTGGAATGCATCTTTTGGGGAGTTCCAAACTCACTATAGCTACTTAGTTGCTGTTTTTCACAGTTACCCTGGTTCTGAGATCAATGGTTTTCAAAGATACTAAGCATATTGTGAGATTAGAATGGGAATAGTACAACTTATAATGCCACAGTGCTTACTCCCTTTATCATAATTCAGGCATTTTCTTAACTAAATACTCCTCAGATTGTTGTAAGCCTTTGGTTCTTTTCTAGATGTTTCAAAAATTGACTTGGACCATTTTTACTCTGTTCTCATTGTTTTTATGGATTTTCAGAAACCCTTATTCCAACATTTCAAAAGTGTTCTCCCTGTGGCTATTTATTTATGAATGAATTACATTACATTAAATAACATGAAAATTCAGTTTCTCACTCACACACACGGGCCACATTTTAAGTGCTCAGTAGCAACTTGTGGCTAAGAATGACTGTACTGAGATGCAAATGTTTAAATCATTGTAGAAAGTTCTCTTGGACAGAACCTAGAAGGAAGAAACCTAGAATCAGGGTAGAATTCCAGAAACTCCTGTTCATCCTTATGTCCTTCTAGGTCTGTCCCCTACAGCAACCACACTGGGGTGGACTCCCTGTGTAACTTCTCACCACTGGCACAGAAAGTAGACAGAGTTGCCATGTATGAGGAATTCCTGTGGCTGACCCAGAATGGCACCCAGCTGCAGAACTTCACCCTGGACAGGAACAGTGTCCTAGTGGATGGTAAGGCTTCCTGGTCATTGGGGCAGGAGTGGGCTGATCCAATTTCCATACCTAAGGCCTTTCCTTGGAACCTGGAGACCAAAACATTGAACTTTCTCAGGCTGGCAGGAGGTGGTACAGTCCCCCAGGCTCTACTCACTATTGAGGAAGAGGAAAGGACACCTAGTGGAATATTGGAGGCATTTTCCTTCTCCTAGACAGCTCTATAACCTCAGGATAGTCACTTTTCTTCTCTGGACTTCTGCTTCTTTATCTCTGTACTTAAATCCAGTTGACCAGATGGTCAGTGAGGGCCTCCAGCAGCAAACTATGTGTGAACCAGCCTTGACAGGTATGACGGGAGAGACCTGTTTTCTGATTCACAGGCTATATAAAAAGGCAATG